CACACACACACACACAGGCAGTGAGGCCATTCTAAAGCTAACCACACACGGACAGTCACACACACAGGAAGGGGCTGGAACCACACACCCATTATGGATTTAACTGTGTCTCCCAGAAACGTGTGCTGGACTTCCTAAGCCCCACACTGTGGAGCCTGGGTGGTGCGGTACTGAAACACTCAGCTGCTGACCCAGAGCTCAGAGGTTCCGGAAGGACTGCAGCCTTGGAAACCCTGTGGGGCAGTGCTACTCTGTCCTACAGGATTGCCTGCTGTGAGCTGGAACCCACTTGAAGGCAGTCAGTCGGCTTTGGTTTCCTTTTGGTTAGAGTCCCACTGGGAGCAGTCTGCCTGTTATGGTCTGCCTGTTACATTAGTTAGGCAGCCCAGTGTGGGTGCTTTGTGTCGCTCTCTTTGAGATAACAGATTAAATAAACCAGGAAGGAACAGAGAGATGGGGAAGCAGGACTCCAAGCTCATGAAGACTGCCCAGCAGCAGAAGCTCAGAAGGGACTGGGACCTTCCTTCAGAGACGAGAGAGAAAAGGCCTTCCCCTAAAACTGCCACCCCAAATTCAGATCTCCAGCCTCCTAAATTGAGAAAATCCATTGTTCCTTAAAGCCCCTGGCAGCCTCTTGTTACAGCAGCACCAGGAGATTCACCCCCCCGATGCTTCTGTTGCAGAGCAGGGAGACTCCCGTCTCCCACATCAGAGAACCGCCCCCGCTGTGCACGCATCAACTGGGGCACGGGCCTGGCAGGTAGCTCCTCGTCTGCCGCCGCGTGCGAGGTGCACAGAACCGGATCGGGGCAGCCGCTGTGCTCACGTCCAGGAGGCTGTGCCACCCCCCAGCACCCTCCCACCCCCTCATCCCATCCCCACTCGCCACCCCTCCCATTGGCTCTGCCCTCCTCGTATGGTCAGAAAAATACACCAAGGGCCGGTCTTACGGGGTCATCAGGCCTACAGATTCCCTGTGCAGTGAACGGCTGCCCACGTGCCAGCAGCCTTCTCGGGAACCACACCTTTCCCAGGGAGGGTCGAGGCTAATGCACCACCTGACGCATCACTGCATACGGGAAAGGTGACCCCAAACCCTAAAGATGTTCCCCCAACCCTGGCGAGACAGAGCAGATGACCGGGCAACGTTCACTACTGCCCAGCACGGCCGCCGGGTGTTTCTGCATCCAGCCTGGTGGGAAATGAACGGCCACCCCCGGGTGAAGTGGTGCGTCTCAATGATGCCCGTCCAGACCGTAAACAACCACCTCCTTCTTCTGCTCAGAAAACGAAGGAGAGCTGGCAAGAGGGGGGCGCCCCTCCTGTCTCTCAGCTCCCAAAAGGCGACTGCTTCTGAGGAACTGGCAAAAACGCACCCCTGGGAAACGTCAAAGGACCTTCCACGTTTAAATTATTTCCTTGTGATGCTTTAATACCTCAGAAGAGCATACTTTTAGAGACAAACTGATTTACCTTTTTGAAAAATTCAGTATAACGTTATGTCCATAGATTTAATATTGGCACGTTTGAAAAATTTAGTAAGATAATTCAAACGAAAACTTGAAGTCCTTGTTCCTTTAGGGCAAAAGAAAAGCTTTTCCTGGAGTCAGCTACAGAGAAGCTCACGGGAGGCGGCCCCCAGCCACATCCTCAGCAGTGAGACAAGCAGCAGCAGCTCACGGGACAGTCCCCGGCCATGTCCTCAGTGAGACACTGACAAGCAGCTCACGGGACAGTCCCCGGCCACGTCCTCAGCAGTGAGACACTGAGAAGCAGCTTACAGAGCAGCCCAGCCACGTGTGGAGCAAGACATGGCGCTGTGCTCGAGTGTGACTCAGCCCTGTCACCAAGCACGCCGGTGCACACAGGCCGGCTACACTTCTTCACGGTAAGACCGTCTCCACGAAGAACAATGGAAGCTGCTTTACGCTCCAGGGCAAGCACCTTCGCAGTCACGGACCAATCACGAATGGGTGCTGAATCAGCCCTAGCCTGAGCAGAATGTCTCCCATGTAGTTCTGTAGGGTGACCCTGCCAAAGGACAGAACTTAGAGGTGAGTTCCCACAGCAGTGTCCACTGCCCGCAGAGCCTTGAGGCAGGTTGGGGGGAGGCACTTAAGAACTAATGTGAGGCAGAGAACACCCAGGAAGTGACCCTGGTGAGAGTGGGTGCTGGGAAGGACCCACAGCACCTACTTCAGAGGCTCAGCCTGGGCCAAGTGAGCCCCAAGCAACTGCAGCACGAGGCATTACCCCAGACAGACTGCAGCAAGACGGAGGACAGACAAGGGTTGAGGACAGCGGGCCCGGAGAAGCCAAGAGGCCTCTGATGAAGCACAGCGGGAAGCCCTCCAGGCCTTGGCCCCTCAACGCCATAACGTGCCCCTGGGCTCCTGCAGGTTCTCCTCCAGCCTGCGGGTCCTCTGCCCACAGCCTCCAGTCAGGGTCTCGAGGCAGCGGAGGAGCTCTGAGTGGTTAACCCTGCAGCCAAACAGTCACAGTGACCCGAGAAGCATAAACTGCTAGGCTGGGAACACACCGACAGGACAGCGGTCCCACCTACATGGGCCTCTGCTGGTCTGTGTCACTGGCGGACTGCGCACAACCGTGCCTGCCCCGGCTGAGGACAGGGCCCTCGGGTCTCCCCGGAGCCACCCGGGCCGTGGCTACCATCCCTGCCGTTGGCACACGCTCCCCGCGTGCTGAGCCCAGACCTGCTCTCTAGGGTCTGGCTCCTGGGCTTCTCTGACAGCAGGAACCAGGATGCCACCCACCCGAAGGAAAGGCCTAGCCCTCTCCACGGAACGGGACGTGCCAGCAGATGCACAGCGCGTCGACTCATGCTCCCGGGCCAGCCTCACTGGACTGACACGCCTGGTCTCAGCACACAGGCTTCTGCCTATGTGCAACCACTGTCCCTGGGCCAGTGGGGACAGCCTGGCTCCCCAGGGGGCTGCTCACCTCACTCTGCAACCCTCACACCCATGCCACCCTGAGACCCCAAGTTGAGCTGGCCAAGCCCTTAGGGGAGCAGGTGTGGGGTTGCTTGCCCCGTCTGAGGGAGCTGCTGTGCAAAGGCCCTGTGTCAGCCTCGGAGCAAAGTCACCACTTCTTCACGCTCAGCCTCCACAGCTCCTGTGGCTCTGCTCTGTCCTATCCCCTCGATGCCAAGGGCCCCTCCTCCCCTTCCTTGGGAGAGAAGGACCCACACAGTGGTAGCTGCTGGGACAAGGGCTTGAAGGCTTGCTTCAGCTCCATTTACCAATCCCTGAGGCCAAAGGAGCTCTGCTGGCATAGTGGATAAACTATTTGCTGCTAACCAGAAGGCCAGCAGTTCAAATCCACCAGCTACTTTGCACAAGGTAGACAGAGCAATCTACTTTAGTAAAGATTTACGGCCTTAGAAACCCAACAGGAGTCACTATGACTTGGGATTGACTCAACAGCAGTGATGTGTTTTTTTGTTGTTGTTGTTTGATGTCAAAGGGTAAGTGGTTTCCTGAAAAGATGAACAAAATGGAATCTTTAACCACCTTCCAGTTCAGGCCACCAGAGACAGATGGGTTCTTGCAGCCCGTCTCCTCCGTGTGCACAGCCCCCCGAGAACCCATGGGACTGTGGCCACCCGAGCAGACACGCTATTACCTTTCTTTGCTTGTGTCTTGCGCGCTTGGCTGCCCGAGTGCTGCTCACTGGCTTGGTCTCTGAGCTGTTTATGAACTGTAACAAGTCCTCCACCTTCCGATGGTCAACGACACTCTCCCTTTCCGAGATCGGATCCGCCTTTTTAGGCTGCTCTTCTTTCCTCTTGGTCAGACGTAAGCGAAGCTTTTCCCTCATCTCTGCATAATTTCTACTTGTTGGTGCAGCCGGAGGCTAAGAGAGTCAAATAAGAAGGTAACGAGTTGAAGCTTGGAGTTGGGTCAATCTGAACTAATAACCCAGACAGCAGCCCTCCAACAACTCACTCCTCACCCGAGCGCCACATGCTCACTCAAAGGCAGGCTGGAAAGCCAGCACGCGGCAGGAAAACCCGCCCCCAGTCGCCCGAAGGCAGCACTCTGGCACCCACTCTCCAGTTCTGATGCACTCATGCAAGATCTCCTCGGGTACGTACATCCATGTACACAAGTGCATGTCTGAAATCAGGGCAGACCCAATGACGCATCCTGACTGATTTACTGACTTGTACGTCAGGATTAGCCTTCTGTCAGCTCATGGGTCTGCAGCCGCCTTTCCACCTTTTCCTCCATTTAGTGTTTCCTTCTTAGAGCCAGAAAGAAAAAAAGAGCCTTAAACTCCGCTGCCAGGGGGTTCCTTTCTAATAACTAACAACATGTCTGGAAGATGCATGTGACCTGAGGCAGAGAAAGGAAAACCGACAGGGCCCACACCTTTCCTACTGCTTCTCCCCAAGGGAACCAGGCTGGCCAAGCTCTTAGAAACGACTGCTCTGGAGTGATGTCCGAGTACACGTAGCCCGTACTTGTCCCCGGGTGCTGTGGGCACTGAGGCGGTGAGGCCCCAGCCACCATGGTTCTTCCTCAGCTGGAGGAACAGGCTCGTGGGGCCACCATTTCTGCTGCTCTGTGCTCACTGCATGTGACCACGATAGCACCTTGAGTGCTGCTTTGGGGGTTACGAGTAAATTTCAGTGAGTAGGAGAATCCAGATGTGGAATCTTCAAACCACGAGGCCCAATAGTGTGTGAATGCCCTCCATCTGGAAGTGACAGGAATCAAGCCGCACACACATCACACCGGGGTCGCTGGCTACACAGCACACCACTTCACGGCTGTGCCCAGTGAACAACGTCCTGCAGCAGGCATCTGCAGGCCCCACCACCTCGTCAACTACTTCAAATAACACAAAGGGACACCAAGGTGCAATGACAAAAATCCTATCAGCTAAATCTTCGGACAAATACATCATCATTTCTTGAGGACAAACACAGCCTGGAAGAGGAATTACTGCTTCAGACCACCTTTTTTTTTTTTTTTTTAATGCATTTTATTGAAATATAATTTATGGACAGTGAAATACACAAATCTAAAGTGACAGAGGAGCTCTGGTAGCGCAGTGGCTAAGGCTCTGACTGCTAACCAGAGGCTGGCGGTTCAAACCCACCAGCCACTCCTCGGAAGGAAGATGGGGCAATCTACTTCCGTAGTGATACTGCCTTGGAAGCCCAAGGAGGGGTCGCTAAGAGTCGGGTCCGACTCAGCGGCACATAACAACACCAACAACAACAAAAGTGACATGGGTCAGTGCATTTTTTTTTCTTTTTTTGCAGTGTTCCCTCCCCTCCCCGCCTCCCCTGACAACCAACAAAGAAAGCTTCCCTCTATATAGAAACCTTTCCTTGACCCTCCACAACAACAAACTAACACTATTTGTCCTTCTGTCGTTGACTTATTACACTCAGCATGATGTCCTCCAAGTTCATCCATATTATGCGGTGTTTTGCAGACTCTGCATTATTCTTTAGTGCTGCATAGCATTCCATTATGTGTATGTACCATAGTTTGGTCATCCACTCTTCAGCTGATGAGCACGTAGGTGGTTTCCATCTTTTTGCTGTTGTAAATAATGCTGTGATGAACATGAGCATGCACGTAGTATCTGTTCTATCCTGGCTCTCACCTCTCTAGGATGTATACCTAGTAATGGGATTGCTGGGTCAAATGCTATCTCCAATTACAACTTTCTAAGGAATCACCATATTGTTTTCCACAGTGGTTATATCACTTCACAGTCCCACCAGCAGTGTAGGAGAGTCCCAATCTCTCCACATCCCCGCCAGAGTTTGTTATTTGCTGTCTCGTTGAACCTTGCCATTGGTGCTGGGGTGAGACGGTGTCTCATTGTTTTGATTGGCATCTCTCTGATGGCCAATGATTGTGAGCATCTCTTCATGTATTAGCTGGCCACCTGAATATCCTCCTTGGTGAAGTGTCTATTCATGTCTTCTGCCCGTTTTTCAAGTAGATTGTTAATTCCTTTGGTGTTGAGGCGTTGAGAGTTTTCTATAAATCTTAGAAATTCTAAGTCCCTTGCCAGACATGTAATGATTGGCAAACATGAATTTGTTGCTATCATTTTTGTTATGTGCTTTTTCATGGTGTCAATTTCTTTGTTCCATATAATTTTCTATGCTGAGCTCATATGGTTTATAAATCGTGTTATCACTTCCTTCATTAGTATTTGCTAAATATTTATGCTGGTCCTCTTTTTTACTTTGAGGTGAAGGTTTCTCATTTTTCTTTGAGGTTACCCTGTGATTTATAGTTTTCTTCCCAAGTTCAGAACGGTCCATTCTACCTTGTAGCTGTCTTGACTTCCCTACTATCTAGAAGTTCTGTAATGAATGACAGTTTTGTCCCTTTTTTTGGTTTGTAGTTGTCCTCATTTGTCAATTAGTGTCTCTGGTTCCCTGTTTACAGTCTTGTAGCCTTATTTACTTTGGATACTTCCATAGCTGGGTTGGTTTCTGGGTTATGTCATCATGTGTGTTAATGGTCAGTTATTGTTGGCTGTTGCTGCTTCTCTGTCCAAAGGGCTCCCTTTAGCATCTCTTGTAAGGTTGGTCCGGTTTCAACAAATTCCCTTAATTTCTGCTTATCTGGAAATGTCCTAATTTCACCATCATATTTGAGGGACAATTTTGCTGGGTACATAATTCTTGTTTAGAAATTATTCTCCTTCAGGGTTTTATATATACCATTCCACTGTCTTCTTGCCTGCATGGTTTCTTTTGAGAAATCTGAGCTTAGTCTTATTGGCTGCCCCTTGTAGGTAACTTTTCTTTTTCCCATGCTGCTCTCATGATTCTTTCTTTGTCTATCATTTTGGTGAGTTTGATGATGATATATGTCTGAGTGATTTTCTCTTGGGGTCTATGCTGTTTGGGGTTTGCCAGATCTGAATGGATATATTCTCATCTTTCATCATACCAGGAAAATTTTCTTCCACCAAATCTTGGACAATTTTTTCAGTGGTTTTATTTGTCTCTTCCTATTCTGGAATTCCAATTACACGTAGCTTATTCCTTGTGATGTTATCCCACATGAACCTTAGGCTTTCTTAATTTTGTTTTGATCTTTTCTCTAATTTATCCCTTTCCAAAGAAGTGTTCAGGTGTTTGTCTTCCATCTCACTAACTCTGACTTCCATCGATTCAATTCTGCTCCTTTGCCCATTCAATGTCTTATCTATTTCTGACAATTTAATATTAATCTTCTGGATTTCTGTGTGTACATTCTGAATCATTTCCCATTGTTCATTTATTTTGTCATTTTCTTCTTGTTTTGTCTTTCAAAATTATTCTAGGGTTTTGTCTGGGTTTTCCTTGATCTCTCAATCTGTTGAAGATACCTAAATATAATTATTTTGAATTCCTTATCAGGGAGTTCCAACGCTATGTCTTCATCAGGGATGTGTTTTGGGTCTGAATCCTGGTCCCTTGTTTCTCATGCTTTATCTTGCTTCTTCGTGTAGACTGTGATGCTCTGTTGTTTCTGAAGCATTGTGACATTTTGGTGTTTATATTTAATTGGTGATTGAATGTTGGAGTGACTTGCCTACTATTTTCGTTTTCTTTGTATGTTATCTACACAAGCAGGGTACTGTGCTCCTCTATTCACTAACTGACAGCACTTATACACTCACCACCTGTCTCCTTTCCCCGTCAGCTTCTTGTATGTCTCTCACACCTTGCAAACAGAGCCTATTCTAAGGTCCCTGGAATCCTAATGAGAATGCTATCACTTTAAAATCCAAATTGGCTGCCATTTATAAAGATTCAAAATGGCTGTGCCCTCCATCACTTTAAATATCCAAAATGGTCGCCACCTGTAAACATTCAAAGTGGCTGCAGCCTCACAGACCACCCTCTTGATGGTACCTGCACACAAAGCTTTACACACAACACAGCCGTGCCCTGGTACCCCTTCAATTTCAGTGCCACATGCAGCCTGCAAACACTCCTCAGCGACTGTGTGGCGCCCGAGTGCATGGGAGGCACTCACCCCGCCGTGCCCGAAGAACTCGCAGTAGCAGCAGTCACAGTACTTGCCCTCCTTCTGGGCAGTGGAGGTCGAGGTGCTGGAGCTGTGCTCAGAGCAGCTATCCTCATCCGCACTCTCGTCCCCGTCATCCTGCTGTGGATCGTAGACCCCGTTTTCACAGCGGTGCCCTTCACAGTCGGGGTCACTGCAAAGGAGCACAGGTAGGTGAGCAAGCAGGCCACCCGGCCAGCAGGGGGCACAGCATAGCACCACAGCTCCATGCAGCTGCCATGTGCACGTTTCCCAGAGCCGTGGGAAAGGTGATGGGGGACATGGGTGAGGTGGACTGAGCGCTGGGGCCTTTTATGGAAATGCAGCCCACATGCAAGCAAGAAGTCATCCTACAGGAGAGGCCTGCATGCGTGGTGTTCACTCAGCACACTGGGCACACTGTGCCAGGGCAGCATAGGCCTATGGTGCCTTCTCTCCGCACCAGTGCCTCCCACCAAGCCTCAGCAGGGAGGTCAGAGGTGGGGTGAGTGAGAACAAGGTGACTTTCCTTGTAAATGAATGGGTTTTTGTGGTCAGCTGTCTCTCTGCACACACACTATCCATTTCCCTTGGATTCTCCTCCCTGGACACCACACAACTCACAATTCCAACCAGCAGCCATGCACTGCTGTCTGTGGGCTGCTACCTGTGGGAAGGCCGCCCCCACCAGGGAGTCCCGGAGCCTCCAGGAAGGGCGCCAGGCTCACCTGCACACACTGGGGGGTGCACTGAGGGGGCCGTCTGTGGCGGGGGGCGGAGGCGCCACAGTGGCCGCACAGAAGTTCTTGCGAGCATCCACAAAGCCAGGAGCTGGAGTAGCAGTTTTGGGGAATGAGGAGGCTGCGAGATTGGCAAGATGAGGTGTGGTGGCCGGAGATGGCCCAGCAGGAGAGAGAGGAGGAAGCGGCGTGAGCCCCGTGGGGCTGCTTCTGGGTGCAGCCGGGGCCGTGTGCCTGTGGTCCTCCTTGTTGATGCCGTGGAAGACTTCGCCTGCAATTAAAGATGCCACAGGTCACTACCAATGGCTGAAGACAGACAGACTGGTCACTCATGTTTCACCAGCTTTATGTTAGGAAATGGTTCAAAGCAACAGAAAAGGTGAAGGAATGGTACAAAGGGACCCATAGCCCTTTACCTGTGTCATCAATGCTAATACTCTGTCATCTTCATGTTGTTTCTTTTTTTTTAATTGTGATTTGGGTGAAAATTTACAAAGCAAATTCACTTTCCATACAGCAGTTCACATGTACTTTGTCTCATGACACTGACCACAGTTTACCACAATGCAACAGCTCCCCTCCCACTTCCTCCCCATAGTTACCTCTTCCCAGTGTCCATCCCTCCATGCACTCCTGCCCTCTATGCTGTCTCCCTGTGCAAAAGCAGCCCTTCCTTTCTCCCATGATTGTTTTCTCCAAGGAGTGTATCTATTTGAGGTAAATGTTTAATTCACATGCCTGTCTTTTGTATGGCGGGAAACCACAGGTGTGGGTTCAATTCCAGACCTGAAGGGCAGCTAGGGGCCATAGTCTCAGTGGTTCCACCACGCTCTATCGGACCACCAAACCTGGTCCTGACCTTTTTTTTTTTTTTTCTCCAAATGATTTTGAGTTTTGTTACACATTGTTCTCCCTCTCTATCAGGGATCTCCTACATAGATCCCTTCCAAGTGGATGACAGTGGTAGCTGGGCACCATCTAGTGCTTCTGGTCTCATACTCGTGTAGGCTGCAGATAGGATGCTGTACCAGTAGCTAGGACCAATTGTTTCCATGAATTTTGGTTTTCTTCATTCCTCTTTGCTCTGGACGAGGAGAGACCCATCGTTGCATCTAGATGGCAGCTGGCTAGCATTTAAGATCCCAGTCGCTACTCGCCGAAGTAGGAGGTGGAACAATGTTTTGTATAGTATGTTATGCCAATTGACCTTGATGTCCCCTGTGACTATGGTCCCAAGCCCACAGGTTCAACTACTCGGTCCCTCTGGTAGCTGGCTGTGACCAAGCAGTGACCACAACCTTG